TTATACCATAAAGCTACAGTGATAAAAATAGCATGATAGTGACAAAAATAAACAGACTTAAGTATTAGTAGGACAGACTAGAAGACACAGAAACAACTGCAAATACCCTCAGCTACTTTATCTTGGACAAAGAGGCCAAACACCTGCACTGGAAGAAAGATAGTCTCCTTAATAAATGGTGCTGGAAATACTGGATTTCCACATGCCAAAGACTAAAACTAGACCCACATCTTTTATCATGCACTAAACTAACATGGAAGTGAATCAAAGGTCTAAACATTAAAACAGAGACACATAATCTGCTGGAATAGAATATATAGAATTCTTGAAGAATAGGTGTAGCAAAGACTTTATGAAAAAAAAAGCCAGTCACACAGGAAACATCACAAAGAGTTAAAAACTGGGATCTCAAATTATTAAAAAGCTTTGCACAGCAAAGAAACCACATCAACAGTGTGAAGAGACAATCCATAGAGTGAGGAATTTTTGTCCCTGGTGTTTCTCAAATAAAGGACTAATACCTAGAATATGCAAAGAACAAAAAAAAAAAAAATCTTCCCCTAAAATTTCAAGACCCAATCCAAAGATGGCTATCTGAAATAAAAAAAATATTTCTCAGATGAAGAAGTAGAAACAGCAAATAAATATATAAAAAATGTTCAACATCACTGATCATTTGAGAGATGCAAATTGAAACAACACTGAGACTCCATCTTACTCCAGAAGCAATGGCTATTGTCAAGAAATCAACCAATAATAAATGCTGAAGGGGCTGTGGGGGAAAAGGAGCCCTTCTCCACTGCTGGTGGGAGTGTACACTGGTGTAACCACTGTGAATATTAGTGTGTAGATTACTATAAAACTGGGGCTAAAGGTCCCACTGGACTCAGCTATTTCCTTTCTTGAGATCTTCCCCAAAAAATGTAAAGCACCACACCATAGTGATATAAAGACACCAATGTTTATAGTAGCACAGTTTTTAATAGCTAAATATTGGAAACAGCCCAAATATCCATCAACTAATGAATGGATAAAGATGTGCTTTCTTGTACAACAGAGGACTACTCAGCTATAAAGAAGGATAAACTTAAACAACTCTAGCTAAATGAATTAACTTTGACATTATAGTCGAAAGTGAAATAAATTGGACACACATGTTCAAGTATCACACAGTTTTTCTGGGATAATAAACTGAAAGGGTTAATAAGGACTAAAAAGTAGAATAGACATTGTGAAATAGGAAGAAAATGTTCAAACGAGGAAGGGAAATATGAGAGGTGAAGGGAAAAGGAAGGCAGGGAAAAGGAAAAAATAGAACAGAAGAAAAAATGGAAACAAAGCTTTTATAAATAAGGAGAGGAAGAGGGGTTGAGGGAAGGGTAGGGAATGGGAAAAAAGAAGAATTAAGATACACATACACAGGTAAACATTCTATATCATGGATGTCATCATTATGTTTATCTAAAACATACCAATAGAATTAATTAAAAGAAAACTACAGCTTCAAAACACAGTCAGAATTATCCAATGCCTTTTTCCCTTTTAGGAAACACTGAGAAAAAATTTCCAAGGGTCTTAAAGATACAATAAGCCTGTAAATTGGGCTCATGCTTTTCATCTGTAAATTGAGCTTCTCTTTCTCCCTCCAATATTGACTTATAAAGCCCACAGACTTCCACACTCAAAGAAACAGCACCATCAAGTGGGTAGAATATCTACACACTTCATATGGTTTGCTTCCTCACACAGCCCATTAAAGGGATACCCTGGCCAGTCACTAGTAATACACACTCTAGGCCAACTGTCTTGAGCACATCACAAGACCACAAGAAGCCCACACCTCAGTGCCTCTCTCCCATATCCAACTTTGTCTTGGTGTGTATACCTTTGATTCTGTTTAATACATTTTTCTATGTCTCTCACTGACATATTCTGCAATTCTATTCCATGATGTAAGTCAGCAAACCTATAATCTACACTGCAGGTGGGGTGAGTTGAGGTCCCCGTCTCCTCTCTTCGGGGGACAACTCCTAGGGCCCTGTCCAGTAACAATGCCTCCATGATGCTGAGCAGGAAACTCACCCCAATGGTCAAGTACAACAGACCTAGGGGAGATGTAAGATGCTTACAAATCTACTGATGAACACTTCTACTAAATAACAGAAGATAGGGGCCACACTCAGAGAAAATAGTTAATGACATTTGAATCTCTACATATTGGCCATAGATTACTTTTCTCTCCCCAAGATCACTATTGGTGATATATGAGAGGAAAAACTGCAGAGATTTTCTTTTTGAAAATGACCTTTCCACCCAGGAATCCAACAAATAATACACTATTTTTGGATTAATTTACTGTGAGAACAGACATTTCAACTCCTATTGCTTGTCCCATCCTAATTGTTTCCTATTAATTTGATTACAAATGATGATGCATGAAATAAAGACAGCCAACAAATATAAAATTCTCTATCTTGTAGGCTTATAATCATAGGCTTATAAAATTAAGAGTAAGAGCAAACTATTTTTTCAATGCTGATCACAAGAGGCAAAAAAGTACCAGTACTTTTTCTAATCTATGAAAGGACACGTGTAACTATTTTACTTGGCAGTTACCTGTAGTGATTGATTACCCTAAATTATTTGCCGATGTCTTTCATATTATTTCTCTGTCAGCTCACACAATGTTTTAAACAATGAGCAAATCCTTTTCTGAAGGATCCTGATAATAAGAAAGGAATTTGGACCTCAGAGCAAACCAATGGCACAGGTCACCTTATGAAGGTGTGTTGGAAAAGGTGAAAGCAGAGAGTATGAACTTTTTCTTTAATTATGTTTTTATTGTTTGCATTTTCACATCAGCATCTATTTATTTTATAATTAAAATAAAACCCAATAAGTCATAAATCATAGAAAAGTATAAAAACTAATATGACATTGTTATATTATTTTTCTACCTAGTTAAATGGCAGGTAATTTATGCAATAAGAAGATTACTGAGTGATACTCTAGGAAAATATTTAAATACACAAAGATTTTAGCAAATAGTGGTTCAGTCTGTTACAAGTAAATATTATTTCTAAGCTACAAGGGTTTGTATAGGCATCTGCACTTTCTTTTCCTAAAGTTTCCCATTACAGACGAGTGATCTCTTGGAATTTCAAACATGAATGATTCCTTTTCCTGCATCTTACTTTACCTTGAAAACCTGACTGATAAGCAAATAATGATGTCATTCTTCAAATCTGTGCTCAATCCACTCATCCTCTTAATAACCACAAAATTGTTTTGTCTGTCCTTTGTAGGCACGACCCTACCCACCCACAACAGCTCTACAGAAAGCTAAAAGCTGAAGAGCTGTTGAAATGCCTGAGATAAGAGAGGCTGTAAATGCCTGTTAACAGCTCCTCATGTTTACCTTCCTGTGATTTATACTCAATTTATGATGGTCATTATAGTAGATATACTTCGCTTAATCAAGAGCACAGTCAAGTCCTACTCATTAAACACATTCATCCTCTCCTTCCCGGGAGAGCAGGTCCCTTGTTTCATTAAAAGCCCCACAAATACATATTCAAAATGCAAAGATGAAAGCAGTCAGCAGTGGCAGTTAATTTTATGGCTGGTGCTATAAGGGTGTAAATCTCTTTTATGGCTGCCATGCTTTAGCTCGTTTTACCTGCTCGGTCTTTTGGTGGACCCAGAATGCAAGTCTTAAGTGTTCACCTATTACGCTATGTACAGTATACAAACCTGGACAGTAGCCCTACTGCCTTAAAAACAGCCAGAACAGAAAACAAAGTTAGGGGACAGTAAATGAAAGGCTTTTAAGACTGCAGTGTGAAATTGTCAAGAAATTTATTTTTATAAAATATCTGCCATTTGTTAGCTAATGGTTTTCTTTGAGCTGATTTACTATTCTGGTAGTCTAATGATGTTCATGAAATAAACAACAAGGTGATGTCCACACATAAGGCATTCTCTAGTTTGAGTATCTTACACATTTTAATATTCCTAACAATTGAGCTGATCACAGAAAAGACAACCGATGATGCAGTACTAAGAAGACAAAAAATAATTCCTGCTTTCCAGAAATCTTTCCTGCCCCAATTCAAAAACATCAGCTATCATAAGGAAATAGAAGGTGTTTTCCAAATTCTGGCAAATTCATTCTCATGGAAATGTGACCTGCTAGAATGCATACACATTCAATACGATGCTTATATTTCCACTGACCTCTGCCAGGGCAGTAATTCAAGGTCTGTTATGCTATCGTAGAACTTTTTGAGTTAAAGGATTTTTGTCTCTCTCTGACACTGCAGTGGCTCCATTCATAACAATTCTCTGCTGTGTGGTGCCAACAGAAACAGCCACGCAAGGTTTATCATCCTAAGAAAATACTGAGAATCAAATATGAAGGTGGTCTACACAGTTCCAAGGAATTCCAAAGTCGAGCAGGTTGTGTTGTTGAAGGGCACGCTTCTTCCTGATGAGCCCGACTCTCTCTGGTTTCACTCCCCTTGCCAAGATCTGCACGCTGAATTCCATCCTCTTTATTTTGCCCTCCCATCTCTATCAGATCTCCTTACTGATTTCTACATTTAAAACATTTGGCGATGCTTTAAGAGAAGGCTCAGAGGGCACCCTCTTTTCATCCTGTGTGGGGAGCGGCTGCATCTTTGGCTAGTGTTGGAAGGCCATGCCACTCACAGATATATTCACATGCCACTCACAGATATTTTCACAGCCATAACCACTTACAGCTTTTAGCAAAGGACAGATTTAACTAAGCTTCTCACTTACTTTCTTTAGTTTTAGGTATTTTTTTTATATTGTTAAAGGATCCTAGTTTGCAGCAGGGTTGCATCATTCAGGGACAATTTGCCTGAAGAAAGGGGCGACTTGCCACAAAGTTGAATCCAAGCAAAAACTTTTTCTAATGAGAGAGAACACTGAGCAGCAATATGGAAAGAATTATAAAACCATGCAGAAACACTCACAGTTTTGGTTTGGCGAGCAGAGGTGGTGGCTCCTTAGTAGGCGAAAGCAGGACGGCTGCTGTTGGTAGAGACTTATTTCCATTAGCTTTGCCGTTGATCAGCCCATTTACTCCATGACTGGGATGGACTCCGTTAGTTTCCCTCTCAGCAGAATTGAATTGCATTTGAAGGGCAGCCATACTGTGTCCAAAACCAGGGCTTTTCACCTGCTGGATCTCAGGTGGTTTCTTGGAAGCCAACTCAAAGGAATTTGTCTCCAAGTTTGGAGGAGGAGGTGGAAAATGTGGGAACTGATCGTTGTTGGATTTCCCCATTGTATTGTAACTATAGCTCTCCATATCAGCTAAGGAAGGGGAAAAAAAGGAAAAAAAAATAATAAGATGCTACCAGTTCAAAAACAAATTTTCACACCGTTATAGTTCTAAGAATCCCTGTATCCTACTGTGAGAGAAGATGCGGTGCTGTTCTCACTGGATGCAGAAGCACTGCCAGCTGCAGGCCCCGCTCTTCCAAGCTTGTTTTGAGGGACTGCTACTTGTCTCATTTCTGGACTGTGCTCACAAGTGGAGAAACCACCTACCAACTGATTCATTGGTGAGTTTTGAAGGACAGCTAAAGATAGGACTCAATTTTTAAAAAAGGGTGAGACAAACAGTATCAGCCAATAATATTTTGTCATTTCCATTTTTAGCTCTTGGATCCAATGGAACATCTTATCTGTGATTATCAACAATACTAGCTCAAGCTATAAAGGTTGTATGTGGATTTTCTCTGTTTTAGAGCTAAGGAGGTAGAGTTGTAAGTTTAAGTGAAATGTCTCACCATCTCATGGAAAAACACTTTTCCATGTCAAATGATTGCCCCAACCGCACCTCTGCATAAGAAGAATTTTTAAACTATTTTTTCTCTCAACAGAATGAAAGTATCTTGAGGTTTAATCTTTGATTCCTCATCTTGCTCAAAGCCCATCAGAGCTGCTCCATGTACCCAGACCTGTTCACTGAGGTTGAATAGAAAGCTGAAAGTATCATGTTGGGACTACAGCAGACTTGCCCCCAAGAGAAACAGAAATGTTACACACCAACTTTGGCCCCTGAAACTCGGAGTGCATTTGTGTTGCTGAGCACTGCTGTGACTATTTGATAGGAAAGTCTCTAAGTCAACTCAAAATCAACGGAATGCGTCCTGCTAAATAGCTCCGGTTGTGACATGGGGTTACTTTTCACCACTTAAAGTGTTCATCCGTTTAACCATTTCTCCACTAAGGTAAACTTCAAATTTCTACTCTTTACTAAGATAAAAAAAAGCTGTTGCAACTGGGACTCTTGATCTCCCCAGTTTTGGTTGTGCCTCTGCTGCCACCTAGCCCCAAGTCCTTCCTCTTCTAGGAATCAATGGCGATTCCACTGCTCTCTCACGCTCTCTTATTCAGATAGAGACTCACTGATTCCTTATGTAGTAGACTCAGTCTAAGAGATACTTTTAAAACATCTTTGTAAGATTACTAACAGGGATGAGGAAATCAGCATAAGCTAAAGTAAAGCTCAACAGTAACAGTACACACACTCCAGGAAAGGGAAAATAGCATGATGTTTCTTCCAAAGGTGGCGTCACCCTTGTACTGTGACCTTAGATGATGTCACACATAGCAGAAAACTCCCTGTGCTGCGGGCTCTTAGAGAAGAAATGTGCAGCAGTCTCAAAGACCAAGGTTACCCAAGCAGCAGTCCACTGTACTAATAAATGGAAGCCGGTGGCCACCACTTTGAGCACCTCTTATAATTGTAGTGGCCAAAGGTAACTTGTATTCATTCCATGATGTCTCAAAAAATTTACTATTAAAATATGCTTACAAGTTTTTCTTTTCCTGAAGCATAAATACATTTTGGGGGCAGGAGGACTCTGCAGTCAACTAAATAGATAAATTAATTAAATAAACAAAAAGCTGTTTCATATTTCCTTCCCTAGCGGTAAGTTTTTGAATTTAGAAATTATCCATAGATTTTTAAATATTGGTTTCAATGCTAGAATATATTGCTTTATTTTTCATAACAAAATTATATACTGTCATGAGTTATACTATCAAGGAAATTTGATTTTTAAGATTTGCACAGTTCTTCTGAATTATACCAGATTTGTCTTCCATTACCTTTCCAGAAGTTTCAGTAGAGAGTTAGACAATGGTGAGTTGTGAAAGTATCTGCAGATCTCTCACGTTTACACTGCTGAGAATGGAGACAGCAGCTCTGATTGAGGGGTGACTTTCTTTTTTTTTTTTTTTTTTTTTTTTTTTTGTGTTCAATGATCCAAAAACATTAATATAGTCAGCTATTTAACATCCCTAAACACACTTGTTGTTATATCCGTTAGAGCTCTTTTTTTTTTCCCTCCCTCTCTTTTTTATAACAAAATTTACACATTTTGGATTTTATTACTCCTCAGTTCTCATTACTCTCTTGGGGGGGAGATAATAAAGTCAAATATGGCAAAACAAAGCTGTAAGTCCAAACCTAAGGTGAATGTGATTCTCAGTTATCATGAAGATGTTTGGAAACAGGCTCCATTGTTTCCAAGACCAAGGTAGCATGATTTAAAAAAACATTTCCAGAGAACTCACTTGTTACACTATTGTTATCTTGTCACCTCTGATTCCACCCTCTCCCGCGTTCCTCCCCCATAGCCTTCTGTTTCCTGATGAAACTTCTGATTGTTCTAGAAACTCTTGGAATAACAGCCAGATTCCTAACCGCTGACACTCTACCTGGGACTTTCTGCTGTAGCAAAGTGCACTAGAGCAGGGGACAGAAGCCAGTGAGTTTCACTTCTCACATACCTGAGGTGACAACCAGCTGGGCAGTGCTGGTCACTGATCCAAAATCGTTTCTTGCTGAACAGGTAAAGATTCCTGCATCTTCAGGGAACGTCTCAGCGATAACGAGGGTACAAATCTCCTCTGGAAATGAATTGATCAGAGTGAAACCAACCATCAAGTTGCCTTGAAGTAGTCAGATCCTCTTTTCTAACTTCCTCTCCAAGAAAGCAAGATTCCATTGTTTTTTTTAAGTTAAAGGAATAATTTATTCATTCATTTACCTCGGTTGAGATAGAAAACCAGAAAACTGTAAGACAGAGTTGGAGAGAAAGAAAGGGCAGATTTTCTACACACTTCAGAAGTAGAAACTAAATGAATGGAGGTTAGGGAATACTTGGGCTTCTGATTTTGTTTTTATTGTTATTTTCTTATGGTTCTTTTTAAATTACTATATGCCTACCATACATAACAATTACATTCATCTTGGGAATTTGTACATATACTTGTAAGATATCTAGTCAAACTCTTCTCCCCAGACAGCTGAGTAGGGGAAGGAGGAGTTGCTGTTCAGAAGGGAATGAATTTCAGACATTCGAGATTAAAAAATTCTAAATTTCTGCTGTACAACATTGCTGCAAATAGTTAACAATAGTGTACTCCACAGAAATTTAAGAAGGTAGACTCATATTGTATATTTTACTGCCATAGAGAAAAAGGTAATAAAATATATTAAATATTCACAATTTAAACATTAATTTAGTTAAAACATTACACCATAAATTTAATGAAGTTGATATAAGATAGATATTTTTTTCAATCTTAGGGATTGAAGCTGGGCCTCATACCTGGAAGGCGAGCACTCTACTATACTACCGAGCAACACCCCTGACCATTTCAAAAATGTATTTTGAGACAGCTTTTTTTTTTAGTTGCCCAAGATGGCCTCAAACTTCTCATTTTCTTTCCTCAGCCTCCTGAGTACCTGGGACTAGAGATGTGCACGACTGTGCCCAGCTTAGGAAAGACTTTCAAGATAAAGTCTGGGATCTCTCTCAGGAACGGCTCCAAAAGCTTTTAGAATTTGTGCATCTACTTGTTGAGTACTTTTAAGATTATGTTGTCATAACACTGTACAGCTGCAGATATGAGAAAAATAATTTATAATTCATGATTCCTGTCCTCAAGTTGTTTGTATTCTCAAAGGGATGAGCCATGTCTTCTCACAAGGATTAGAGTTAGAAAATCTCCAGCTCTAGTCCAGCTCCAAGGTTTGACATCCTCAGTGCCCACCTGCCCGGAGGACAGTTTAGTGTCAGCTTTCTTATAAAACCATCCTGTTTTAAAGGACAGCTAAGCTAGCTGCAAGTGAAAATGCTCATGAGAAAGTGCTCTTCTGAAAAAATTTCTTGAAATTTAAGATACAAGTAGAACAAACAATGTAGAATTAAAGTTTTTATGTAAGTTAATTCCTAATGGGAAGAAAAAACAAAATCCTAATGTTTGTTTATTTCAGATTTTTGAAGGGCTTACAGTTTTAGTTGACTATGCAGTATTTTTAAAAAACTTAACCCAATAAGGGCTGAAGATATAGCTCAGTAGCACAGTGCCTGCCTGGCAAGCATGAGGTCCTAAGTTCGATTCCCAGTAAAAAAATAAAATTAATCAAATATTAGATACACTGTAATTATTCTATTATCACAAAGACAGGATATTTACTTCTGCCCTTTTTCTACCATTCTTCTTGAGAGCTTTGCAGTTTTTCTTATTGCATCTATAATGATGAAACCAATCATATTTTCCTGAAATGCCATCCTTTCTATTTTTTATTTGTAAATTTTATATTTTTGGATAAGTATAGTACAAATGCATGGCCTAAAAATTTTAAAATACAAACAGATGTACAAATTTTCTTCTTTTTAAGTAATTTTGTTAAAAATTCAGTGAGTGAGCCAGATGGGATATGCCTGTAATTCCAGCACTTGGGCAGCTGCAGCAGGAGGACTGTCTTCAATGTGAGGCTAGCCTAGGCTACAGAGTGAGTTTAAGGCCAACCTGAACTATGTAGCGAGGACTTGTCTCAAAAAATCAAAAAAAGTTTTTTTATCTTGAATTTAAAAGATATATAAAATATATAAATATATAATACATATGAATAGATATATATTTGAGCTCATAATTGTAGACTACAACTTATTACAAAGAGATAACAGAACTATAGCTATGTAAAGGGGAAGATAATTTCAGGTTATATATATATATATATATATATATATATATATATATACTTTTTATTTGTGCATTAGTGTCTGAAAACCACAAAAAGTATAGCAATCTCAAAAGAGCTCGTGGTCTTTGAGTATCAAGAACTTCAAGTTCTTAATAATGTTGCTTTGCTTCAAATAAAACATTACTTTTCTAACTTTTAGTGAAATGATGGCATCACTGAAGACTTTCTCTGCTGAAAGTGGTGAAAACTATTGGCTAACTAAAACTCACTTTTGGTCTTTCGCGGTGAACTGAAACACGTTTCAGGCAGTATAATGTGACCTTACTGGATGACACTGCAGCAGGTAGTTAGCTTTGTCTACAGCAACCTGAACCTCATCTGACTCATGAGGGTGACGGCTGATTTTTTTCATGTCTCATCACTGAGTAATGTAAGGTATTCTTTAAATTTTACGATCAAGATAGACCTTTCAAAGACATGTTTGGTATATCCAGTGTGAATGTGGATTTGTGTGACTAGCACTATACAAAATTTTCTGGGTTTCCCAGTGTTTACCTATGTAGAAAAAAAAAAGGCTAATTTGGTTCAGTTTAGCAGCAGAGTGGTCAAATCAGCAGCACATACACTAAATTGGCCCCTGTTCAAGGACGATGTGCAAACTTGTTAAGTGTTTCATGTTTTTTCTATTATTGGTTCTTATGGTATGTCACTATGCAGTTGTTTCAGATAGTATTATTGTTGCTGATTTTGTTGCAACTTACAGAGTGGCAGAGTTGTTGTTATTAATTGTTTTTCTCTGTATGCCAATATCTGAACTGCCTTTGTATCATTAAGAATATTTTAGTCCATTTCTGGGTACTTGGGTGCTGAGTCAATTATACTGCATCCTCCCATCCCAAATTAATGGAGGTGGTTGAATCTTTGAATAGAGGCAGAATTAGCCACACATAGAGTGGATCACTTAAAAGGCAACATTAACTGAAGCAGTTACAAAATCTCCATAGCAGCTACAAAATCTTTCCACTATAACTGACCCATAAATTTCCCATAAACCAAAGCAAAAAGCAATAAGAACATGAGAAAATAAGGCAATAAAATGCCTGTAAAATCTCCCAACTCCCCAAAGCCGATCCACAGAAAATTAAAGGGGAAGAAATCAAAAGTCACATAGTTGGATTATTTAAAATGATGAAAGAGGAGATTAAAACAACAGATCAGTAGAGTTCTCAGAGAACTCAAAGACATAACTAAACCAATAATAAAATTAATAAAGTAAATGATCAGCAAGTTCACAAGAGACACTAATAAAAAGCTAGCTGAGCTAAACAAAATGATACAAAATATTAACAACCAGTTTAGCAAAGAATTAGAGTTTATGAAAAGATATCAAACAAATCTATATTGAAAATTTTTTGTTTGATTTTTAGATGGAGTCTCACATAGGCTGGTCTTGAATTCATTATGTAGCCCAGACTGGTCTTAAATTTGAGGTAATCATTCTGCCTCTGTCTCTTAAGAGCTGGGATTAGTGGCATGTGCAACATACCTGGCTACAAATTCTACTGAAGGTATGGGCAACAGAAGTGATCAGTGTGAAGACAGAGTGTCAAAACTAGAAGATAGGACCAATGTTGGTGACCAATTACTTGATGTACCTTAAAAACAAAAGAACATGAAAAATGGGCCAAGAGCTGCTGGTTTATGCAAAGAAGACTGATCTAAAGTTAACTGGAATTAGTGAAAAATCATTATATAGCAAAAATGGCATAAAAATCTCATTCATAGAAACAATAACAAAATTTTTTAAATATGGGGAAACAATTTAATATACACACAATTGAAACAAATAGAACCTGAAGAACCACAAGCAGAAAAGGACTTCACAGTATAGCACAGTGAAAATTTCAAAAGTCTAACACCAGGCTGAATCTTAAAAAATGTTCAACAAATGCAGTGAACCATTTGTAAAGGTAAAACCATTAAAATTATGACAGACTTTTCAATGAAAATCTTAAAAACCAAGAGAGCCTGAAGTGAAGCTATTCAAACTCAAAAAGGAAAAAATCTAATTCAGAATGATGTGCCCTGCAAAATTATCTTTCAAAATTGATAGAGAAAAAGGTCTTTCCATGACAAAGAACATCTTAAGTGATTTATGATTATCAAACTATCACTCCAAAAAGTTCTAAAGGATATCCTAGAAAGAGACAAAGCTAACAATGCCAAAATTTCCAGTAGAATGAATACAGCAGACAGAATGAGAAGTTGCATACAAGTGGAGAAAAAGCAACAGGAAAAAAATAACACAATGACAAGAATAAGTCAGTGCCCTTCAGTAATATCTCTCAATGTGAATTGTCTCAGTATCCTAACCAAAAGAACACATATTTGCAGAATGGATCAAGAGGCAAAACCCAGTATTATGTTGAATGCAAGAATACATTTCATCAAAAAGAAATTCACAGACAAAAACAAAATCTGGGGCTGGGGATTTAGCTTAGTGGCTTAAGTGCCTGCTTGGCAAGCACAAGGTCATGAGTTTGATCCCCAGTACAAAAAAAAAAAAAATCTAAGGATGGAAAACAGTATTCTATGGAACAAGAACCCAGAAACAAACAGAAGTAGCTATCATGTTTTCTGACAAAGTGGACTTTAAGCCAAAACTAGTCAGAAGAGCCAAAGAAGGTTAGTATATATTGGTTAAGGGATAACCAATATTGAATGGAAAGAGATAACACTTGAAAATATGTAAGTACTGAACACTGCTATGCCCAACTTCATAAAACAAACAGTATGGGCAAAAATATCAGTATGGGCAAAAATATCAGTTAAACATGAACACAACTGTGGTAGGGGACCTCAGTATGGATGAACTAAACAAAAAATCCACAAAGAAATATCAGAATTGAACCAA